GTTCTCCTCAGCAGTACCCGTCCATCAAACCTTAATACATATGCATTGCGAGTGTGGCAGCGATCAGTAAAGTTCGCTTCCCTGTATTTCGCCATACGATGATGATGATGATGATGTGTACACAATAGAGTTCAGCAAGTAAGAAAATATACCAATTTTTGCCAATTTTCCCTACTGCATAGGAAGTTGGTTTATCAGTTCATGAGACCCACACTCCATTCCACTTGTCCAACGCCTAAACTCTAGCTTCGAAAATTTGAAAGTAAAAGTATGTTTCCTATCCACACTGTGTATCATTCATCCCTGTAGTAAAAAATACTAGTTACCGACATGTACACGTACGGTTATTTAGGATCTAGTGGAAAATTTCTAGTGTTCCCATTGACAAAGATTAGTTGGTTGCTTCTGTTTTTTGTTCTCTTTCAATGTGGCCGCGTTGATCACCTGTTCGATTTCACACACTGAGCGGCGACCTTGAGCAAAAACACACCACTGAGCTCCTTTGTTTCAACCCCGTTGAGGTGATGGGTGAATCTTCCATTAGGGAGCGTGAACACCTTTGTCGAAATTCAAACGGGTTCGGTGTTTTTACTCATCCAGTTTGATTGTCAACTGGAATAGCCGCGGAGCTAACCACTGTCATTAACACCTTTTATCGTACAGAATTGACGCTGTCAACACGGGTGAATGAACAAACCTGTTCACCAATGTGACATGCATCGGGCGAATGCGTGTTTTTCTTATTCAGGCCGAAGACGGCGTAAGGTGCGGGGTATGGGGAGTGAGTTGATATTGCTGCCCGTTGAAAGTGTTGGAATGAGTAAGGAAGAACACCTGTAAATTTTATTTTCGACTTTCAGAATACGCACATGTTGGCATTTGGAACATAATTTGAGGCGAACTATGTAATGGGTCTGTACAACATTGGTGTGGTCAATACACGGATTTTCACAGTTTTGCATCAATTAAACTAAACCTTAAAATGTTCGGTATTCATAGAGCTCACAGAATCGACTCACACGAAGTATTATTGCAAGTGGAGCTCATGCTTATCTCCAACTGGCTCAGAAAAAAACGGCTATTCAAACCGTTTTATTTAACGACTAAAATGTACAGACTGGAAAAGAGGTACTTATTCATTAGTCTCCTTTTTCCTGGGACGATCGAAATACGTGGCAACAACCACGTTTCTCGCCGGGCATTTTTGCTACTCTTTCAAGTTCTTCACTGATATTCGTGGAATAAAGATAAACTACCATTGTAATGCACTTTGCGTTAGTCGGCAGTTGTCCGTTCGTATCAAAAAGCAGCATCCCCGCGAGCGGAGCCAAGATGATTATCAATTCCAACTCTCGCCCACGAGTTAGACACTGGTTACTGTATTGACTCAATTGAGGCAGTCCGCATTATTTATCACGTTCCCCCAAACCAGTCTACAAATCTGTTAGAATGCGTACGTTGGTCACTGACGAAGCCACCTGTATTAAACACTTGACCATCAAACTGGCTACCCAAAAGCGTCTAATCCAAGCTCTTCATCCGCGCCCCGACTGGGTTCACGAACCCACTCCAGCTCCAGCTCCCTACCCACGCACACTCACAAATACATATTCACCCAATAACACCGAACTCACAGAACTGAGTCACACGACATGCGCGACATAGCTGAGAATCCCGAAAGCATCGAAGTTAAAATTTCATATGCAAAACACATAAGTTTAGTGATCTAATGCTGCCCCCACCAGCACCACTAGATTTTTCCTCCCATACAAATGGGTAACGGTACGATTACGAATTACTGTAGACTGTATTTTGTCCAAGGTCAGCTTTTTAATCCCCGTCGGAGTTCGAACTGTGAATCCTCGAGTTCAAAGCCAAAACCATTACACAAACAAGAACAACATTACGGAGAACCGGGCGACAGAGAATTCGTATAGAATAGAATAAGAATAATCCAGACCTCGCTTCGTTTGTAAAGCGGGATCTCATAGAACCTCCTGTTTAGTCTGAAGTAATTGCTATCCTATTTGATAAACTGGCAAGTGAACGAAGCAAAAATAAATCGTACCGATTGTTCACAGATTAGCAACTAATGGTGGTGAGTATTTTAAGTGGAAATAGCTGAGGAGATACCAATCCGTCTATTTTAAGTTGTAAATCTCGCACAGACCAATGAGGACTAGTTTAAAATCGATTCCGTAGTGTATGATAGCAATGGAGCAATGGGGGGGGCGGGGAAATCGTGAAAAAATGGGAAAAGACAAATTGGACTGAGGAGAAAAAATGAAAACGAGGTTTCTTATTTCTGATACATTTGGCATCCACTTTTTGCTTTCCATTAACTAGTCAGTGGATTGCACCGCCCACCTCGCCTCTCGTCTCCTCCCCAGCTGGAACTCGTTCTCTTAATGCCTGTTCGTTTGTTTATTCGATTCGAATAATATGCTGACCTTCACTCACCTCATTGTTCATTTTTCCGTTTTTTATTGAAGTAGTAATGCACTGCATGTCTGAAAATGCCCCGTAGGTTAAACAGTGTGAGTACACTTATGCTCGCTCCGTAGTTCCCTAGTGTATGCGGTTTTATTCACGATATCTTACCGTGAAAGATCTTATAATCTAGCCGAACCGTTTGTTTGTGACCTTAAAAATTAGTTGATCAACCTACCAGATTGCCTTTTGGTTTAACCATCAACAATGTGTATTGATTATTTTTTATTAGATAACCGTTGTTGCACATAGAGCAACGTAGACGTAAACCGAATAGCTATGCAGTACTGCATAGCTCTTCTGACCTGAATGGGTTGCCTCAGCAACAGTGCATAGACCCCCCCAATCGACCTAACGGAAGATCGAACGCAAGCCTATTACCCATAGTCCAACCGATTGGACTGTTTAGCATTTTGCCTATACATTTCATGGTGTAACTCATCTATACGAGCATACGGCAGGTGTTTGACTTCGTGCATCTCAGTACGAGCGTCCACAGTGAGGATTCGTTTGGGAGCATTTTGAAGAACTTATAATTCGGTTTGGTAATGAGCCACACAATGTGCAAAGCAAAAGAAACGTGTACGGCAAAGTTCAAAAGAAATACCATAATTGTTTTGACCCAATAAAGTAATGGTATATGTATTACCTGTTGATCAGCGGAATGATTCGTCTGTCTACAGTCAACTGTTTGATACCTTCCTAATCTCCAGGTGAACTCTCGCCCGAACAAAACTGCACTCTACCTTATCCTCCATCTTCCATCTTTCTTTCACCGTCTCTACCCATAGCCCCCGGTCGATATTGGTCTCATGTTTTACGCCTGTGTCACTCCAATGGTCCTGCTGATCGGAATGGTCGGGAATTGTCTCTGTCTTCTCGTGTTCCGTGTGAAACGATTACGCTCGACCCCGACCGGAACTTCCTGTGCCACAATCTTATCGGCTCTGTCCGGCGCAGACCTGTTAGTGTTGCTCTGTCACGTCGGACCGGAATGGATACAGACCGGGGTGCCCACACTGATTCACACAATCTATCGACGACCGGCACCACTGCCAACAGAAGTGAACAACTGGACCAGACTGGCCATGAACATGATGGCTACGATGAATGTGTCACGTGATCAGATGATGAGTCGACTCAGTTGGCCCACAACAATGCTCGCGGCGGACCACTTAAACAATGCCACTCCGGAAGCAGGTAGCAGTCACACATTGTTTCTTCATCAGCCTGGCATGTTTCAACTGTACATCATGATATCGTACGTGTTACGCATGATGTCAGTCTGGCTGTTAGTTCTGTTCACAATCGAGCGGTATATTGGTAAGTGAGGAACCGAAATCCAATGCTGTGTTTGACAGTGTTGTTGATAATTGTCACACAATCCAACCTTTATATGCGTGCTGATTAAATGGCGGAACATTGAGGTGGCGATTTGTTTAAGGACATTCATTTTGAACACTGTACTCCTTACGGTTAAGGACACCCCCGGCAGGTTTTGTAGGTTCAGTAATGTAGCTTCGTGTAAATGGAAAATGAAAAACGGCCTGATCAGCTGCCCGGTGGCGTAGTGGGTAGCACGCTTGCGTTCTGCCCATGAAGTCCCGGGTTCGATCCCCAGTCGGGTCGATGGATTCGCACTGCTGATGAGACCCAACCAGGTCGAAACAGCTGTCCAGTGCTTCCGAGCTTTTCAGTTCACGCTTCATTTGCCATATACACGACGAATTGTCATTTGAAACTTAACCAAATCCTCCATTACCCACATGAATGTAGCTTCTATTCAATCAGGCTTGCACACATTATTCACAGCCGTAGTTCGTCTACTCATCACAAATCACTAATGCATTGACGATCTTTGAAAAGCTCTAAGCATCCGTGCGGTGGTTTTGAAATCAGGTGCGGTTAAATTGCCTTCGACGTTGACATTTCCTTGTACATCAGACTTAATATGATACGAGGGCTGAGTAAAAGGTTTCAGTATGTAGAAAAGGTTCTGTTTGTTACACAAAAAGAAACATATCTTGTCGAGGTATTCTGCACCAACGTTCATGCACTCAGTTCCATGCGCTCAAACCATTTGGTGAAACAGCTGGACCACGCCGAAGCGAGTCATCTTTCGACCAGTTCGATAAAGGCCTCCATTGAGGCTGTTGGTGACTCGTATCGGATTCCACACATCATGCATTTGACATTTGGGATTACAAAACAGTCACACGGAACGTCATCACCAAACGCAGCTGGCAGATGATCAATACTCTGCTGCTGCTACTTTAAACCACATTTGTAGTCTTAGAAAATCATCGTCCTTCAGTGAAATCGATTGAGCTCCATCCTTAAACTCTGAGTATAGGGAACCTTACGACTTGTGAGCTGTGCTCTCGGCTGTTGATATTTGGTTCTGTAAGTTACCATCACTGAACAATATTCACAACAGATTACAGTTCATGTTCCCCTTGCCCGATCATCTGTGCCTCGTACTCGTCATGCACTGCGCAACCGGTAACATTTTACCCAGCCCTCATAATTATATAATCGTATTGGCTAAAGCCAGTGTCACATTGTGTAATTAATTCGTAAGACTGTATTGCCACCAGGCTAAATTCTTCTGCTGCCGTTGGGAATTCTTTCCTCTTCAACGCCAAGATTTGATGTTTCTCTCGAATAATAATGCTTTCTTCTTACTTTAATCATGCGTTCATACAATCCTCGGTTTCATTCAGTAGAGCAACTTTCAGACGTGCATTCTATTCAAGGTCATTCATGTTACACAGAGTGTAGAATAATGTTTTGCAGCATGTAGCCAAATTGACGAAGGTAAAGCTAATATGATCGGGTGATGATGTCCGTGTTTTCACAATGTACACGGGCGCTTGTCAATGGCACAGGACTCAAATTGAAAGCTTTATCATTTGCGCAGTTGTGATTGCACATTCTTCAACATCACTGTAAATAATCCATTGTTCACAAATGCGATGGAAATATTTGTGATAACCAACAAAGTGCATTGGACTGCTTTTTTGTCCTATTTGGGACTCGTCAGCAGTGCGCAATTTTTGTGTCCCTATCAGGACTCGAACCGCTACCAGTCGTTGTTTACAGACTGCCCAATTGCGTATCTGATCGATATCTACCGCATCTGATTTCTATCCGGTTCCGAGTATGTACACATACACACACACACACGTGCACACAGACAATCGGACCGACTTGATAGTTCAACCTTCAATCAAGGCTTGCTCAGCTCCGGGCAATCTTGACGACGGATAATCCTTTGCCAATGGATTTTGCTTTTACTTTTTCAAGCGATTATTGTTCCCTTCTTCGATCCATCTTATTTGCCTGTTACCGTGATCCACTCCCCGTCGCTTACAGCGAGTTCGCACATGGGGCATGACACGATATCAATTTGGCTAAATGATGGTTTCTGGGATAATAAAGCTGTGATCTGAAAGTACTAACTACCTGGAAGCTGCGTCTTTAGAGGGACACAACACTGACGACTCCTTCGACCAGTTTACAAGACTTGAAGCCAGATGTGGATACTTGTGAATAGTATATTGGAAACCCTCTGTAAATTTGTTCCCCTTAGTCCTTCCATCAGCGGTCTCTGTTTGAAAAAGTGTGGAACCTTATATGCATTCAATTAATTCAGGAAAGTCTCAGCTCAGTTCATTTGGATACGATAGTTATCCAGTTTCCACTGAATTGTGTGAGCTGGTTGGCAAAGTGATCAAACACACACACACACACACGAGGTATCCGGAGTTCGAATGCCGGGAAAAGCGTTGGATAGACACTACTGAAGAGAGAAACGATACAGTTTATTGCATCTCAAACGAATTGCCATTTAGATAAACTGAAGATAGTGCGAAAAGATAAACTTCTCAGGAACGCTTTGTATAAACCGATATGGGCCTAACCCACACCACTACTCAACAAGCTGAAAATGGATAACATGGAAGTTGATCTCGGGAAATAAATGTTTCAGCGTGGAATTTGTTTAAGACCATTGCGCAATTCGGGTTTTAGTGTTTATGTTCATAGGATCATAATTATTTATCGAATTTGAATAGACCAAATGCAATTCATAGTGTGACTAATGCATCGGGTCACGTCTGTCAGGACGAGATAGCAATTTGACGTGGTGTGATGGCTTGTGCAACTCAGTGACCCGACGAGTTACACAAGATGGTTTTTTTTCAAGTCAGCAGATTTTATCATGCCTGGAAGGTTGACGTGTAGAAGTCACACGAAGTTCAGTCTCCTGGTACTCCAGGTTGGGGGTTCGACTGGAATTTGCTTTCAAGTCGGTAAAAATGTTGAACGAGTAAGTGATCCAAGTAAATGGGCCTCTACTTCACTTCACCCGCTACCTTGCGGTTAGATTTTTGTCAGAACTAAAGGCTTTGGATGAGAACCCCAATCGTTCTCCTTCTTAGTGGCTGGATACCGTAGCAGTACCCGTCCATCAAACCCCACTGCATACACAAAATAAAAACAATTTCATATTGCATTGAGCGGGGTAGGTAGCGATAAGTGGGCTACTACTCAGATATCCCAACCTTTGTTTAATTATTTTTCTTCAGTACCCAGCCCTCTCCATTTTCCCCTTCTTCCGATCTGTAATGGTCCCTCAAGCAACTTGGATGTCGCTCGCCAAAGGTTGTTGCCAAATAGCACTGTAAGTAATTTATCTCGAATCGAATTGCAGATTCTAAAGCCTCGTGAATCACTTAATCTGGGGGCTTTCAACGTGAGAATCCTAATGCAGATAGGTCAACAAGCTTGTCTGGCGCGCACAATGGAGTCCTCGGGGATCGATGTTTGCTGCGTGTCGGAGACTCGTATCCAGGATCGTACTACAATAAGCCACTTGAGCGCGCCAGATTTGTCTTCGAGATATGTTCTTCGCATATCAGGTGGCGACGAAGCCCGCTCAGTGGGTCGGCGCGGGTTAGGTGTTGTACTCAACAACAGGGAGGAGTTCTCTCCTATAGATTGGATCCTTGTCAACAGTCATCTATGTGCAGTGCGTCTCCATGACCCATTCAGCGTCCGGAAGGGAAGCAACACCAAAAGGTGTTTGCTTATCGTATCAGCATATGCACCGAACAATTGCAGTTCTGATACCCAAAAGGACGTCTTCTAGGACGAAATCACCTATCTCCTTCGGATGAGTGTAGGCTCCAACATAGTTGTACCTGCAGGTGACCTCAACGCGCAGATTGGAAAACTGGGCGCATCAGAAGCTTGCCTAGGCGGTAGTTGTACTCTGCCCAGTCAACAAACAGATAACTGCGATCGACTTCTTCAGTTCTGCGCAGACCATCATCTATTCCTATCAAGCACCAACTTCAGACACAGCTCTCGACGGACGGCAACTTGGAGCTCTAGTTCAACTGGTACGCTAACTCAAATCGACAACATAGCAGTAAGTTACCGTTGGTTTGACTCAGTGCAAAATTGCGAGTCCTTTCGGACCACCTGTGTTGAGTCTTTCCACGCATTAGTTTTGATGCAGTTTCACTCTCTGACTAACTGACCTGCAACGAAATCAGCACACTCTTACAGCTCATCATCGACTATCTGTTCGAGCTGTTCGTGTGCGCCATGAATCAGAGCTAGTGCGTGAGCAAAGCGCACCTCAACATGGCGATGTAGATGAACAGTGGGATCAGATTAGGCGAGTAATGCATTCCGCAGCAAATGTTGCTTGTGGGTCTGAGTCTCAAATCCGTCGGAAGTATTTGATATTTCAGGAGTCAGTAGTTTCGATGGAGAAAAACGACAAATCCCGACCTGCATGATCAAAATAGTTAGGTGGCATCTACAACACCAGCTCACGAAGAGCCTCAAGAAAAACCGTGAGAACTGGTGGGCAACAATAGCTAGTAAAATAGAAGTAGCGGCTGCATCAGGGAATAGTCGAAGACTTTTCCGACTGATATGCAATACGGGAGGTTGGCGAACTCTAGTTAGTGAAACAGTCTGCGATAAGAGGGACAAGCTATTCACAATAGGGATCAACGACTCGATCGCTGGGCAGAATACTTCTGCGAGCAGTTCAGTTGGCCAAGTGCTAACGAGACTGCTTCAACTGCAACTGAAGCTCCGTCGTCAGTGTCATGCAAGCTTCCATCAGAAGCAGAAGTTCGGTCTTGCATTCGAGCTCTGAAGCGAGAAAAGGCAGCAGGACTGGATAAGATCCCTCCCACTCTTTTCAAGATGGGAGGTGCTAACCTCGTAAGCTCTATTACTACCCTACTGCGCAACATTTGGACTCAAGAACACAATCCTTCATCTTGAGAGGAGTCACTGATAGTTCCCA